AGGTAGTGTAGATTCTAGTTTGTTCAAATCATGACCCCCTGGGATGTTCAAATTCAACCCCCCAAACTCTAAACTTTCAGTTCTGGTTCCAAGACCATAAACTGAGAATAGACTTAAGTCAAAATTTAGATTTTGAATATTTCAATTATTATTGAAAGAACATGCCTTAAAACTTTCATGTTTGTTAGATATTTGAATACAAATGTACCTTGAAAATTTTGATTTTTTTAAGTTACACTGATATGAAATTTTGACTTAAGTCTATTCTCAGTTTATGGTCTTGGGCCCTGATCTGATATGTGCTTTTTCCTAGCCGATGTGCTCAGGTGAGCGCTGTGGCCCCTGGGCCTCTTGTTTTTTTTTTAATTTTCAATTTGACTGCGTTGTATTCTGTCCAGCTAATCATACTTACTTCTTCTATTCACTTTGCCCCAACTATCGAATTTTTAGTTCATGTTTGTTGCTCCGTTGTAGCTTTTTTATTTTTTAAAAACATAAATCACTTTTTTATTCTCTACCTATTAGGTTATCAGTGAAAAAAGATATTCTAGAACATGGCAAATAAATGAAAACAGGATTATGCCATTTTTCGTTTTCTTTCTTCATTTTTAGAAATTGTCCATCGCCTTTCTTTTGCATAAAAGGTACAAACAGCAATCCTAACTCAAATTTCACACATTTTGACAATTTCGGTGGCGCTCTCTTATCTTCATTTCGATTAATAGCGCAAGACTTTTGGGAAAACCTATATAAACTGGTAAGATATATGCCATATATAACATTATCGATTCTAAGATCTTTCTGAAAAAGAGATATGTTTTAATTTTAATAAAATTACCCCTCCACCTATAAAAAATTTACGGAGGATTTCTAAAGAGGAATTCGGAAGGAAATCTTCAAATATTTAAAGAATGTAAATTAATAGTTATTTTATAACAAAAGAGTGATTGAATATTGAAAGTTTGGTCTAGTCACTTGTGTATTCGTTATTGTGAGTGCACATACATATAAAAAATTCATCACATAGTGAAATTGCTTCAGAAAGTCGAATAAGTCTATGTGGACAATTGTAAACTTACTCTTTTAATCTAATTTCAGATAATACGCGCAAATGGAACCCCTCATTTTTTCTTCTTTTTATTTATTATAATACTTGGATCCTTTTACCTAATAAATCTAATCATTGCAATTGTGGCGGTGTCGTTCATTCACACGCTCAATAAAGACAAACAACAACAAGAGGATGAAAAGGATGACGAGAACGAACAGGTAATTACAGGTAAAACTCACCTTTAAAGGTAAATAAAACTCACATCCAAAGGTAAATGAATCAATGTACGAACTAGTGAAGAAATAGAAGAACCTTCCTAATTTTTTTTTCAAAAAAACTTGAACAATATCATTTGTCATTTGATGTATATTATTGTAAATAATAACAAATATATATTAATTATATCAATTGATGTATATTGTTTGTCGTAATAGAAATATAAAAATTACATCAATTGATGTATAATACTGTACATAACAGTAGACATAAGGTTTAAATTACTGTAAAATTATATCGATGTGGTTTTCGAACAGAGCAATATAGACGCAGGGATAAATCATCCAGCAGATCAAAATACAGAAGTCGCCGATATTGAAGAAAAAGGGAAAAACGAAAGTAACATTCTTTCTATAAATCAATTTAATAGACATCTAAATAAAAATATTGTATGATACACAAAATTCTGTTTAATATAAACGACTTATTTCTCAGATGATTCAAAAGGACTTAATAATCCATCCAAGGTTTTCCGTTGCATACGGAATTGTCAGATCTGGAGGAAATTTCAAAACATGATTGCTCTCGTGATTTTTGATCCATTTGCGGAACTTTTCGTGATGTTCATCATTGCTATGAATACACTTTTCATGGCAATTGACCGCCACAACAAGAGTAAACATTTAGAGGATGTCTTAGATTACGGAAACTATGTACGTGATTACGTTTAATATTTCCTAAGTTTTGAATGACATTTTTTTAATAATGGAGGAACTCGACATTTTTTATCATTTGTTTTTTTCTTTCAGTTTTTCTTTTCCATATTTGTTTTGGAAGCCGTTTTAAAGATCGTAGCACTGGGTCCCCTAAAATACATTACAAATCGCTGGAACAGTTTTGATTTTATTGTGGTAGTATGTAGCTCTCTCGAGTTTGTTTTTGTCGACATTAGTGGCTTCAGCATTCTGCGATCTTTTCGTTTGGTATGTTTATCAATGTTTTGTATTTTCTGTACATCTTTATTCTCTGATTTTGTTTTTGTTTTTGCTTTTTTTGTTGTTTTTTTTTTGATATTTGCTTTTTTTCTTTCTGTTTTAGTTCCGTATCTTTAAGCTTGCAAAATCATGGCACACTTTCAACAGACTGCTTCGGATCATGTCAAACACAATGACTTCATTGTGTTATTTACTATTTGTTCAGATGATAGTAATTTTTACTTTCGCTGTAATGGGCTTTCATCTGTTTCGAGATGACTACTTCTCGTATTACACCGACGAAATGCCGAGGTGGAATTTCACGGACTTTTTCCACTCTTTTTTGGTGGTGTTCCGCGTATTATGTGGAGAGTGGATTGAATCGATGTGGCTGTGCTGGTCTTCAGCGGGACCCCTATGTCTTGTATTCTTCATATCTACTTATCTCGTAGGAAATCTCGTGGTAAGTAAATTTTTACTGATAATAATAATAGGACAGGATAGGAAAAGAATAAAGATCATAAACAAAAAACTTTTTTGAAATTATTGTATATTAGAAACCTATATTTTCCTCATATACTTACCAATTTAGACTATGAGAAAATAACTTAAAGTCTGCAATGTAACAATGTCTTTCAGGTTCTGAATCTCTTTCTTGCAATGTTGTTAAATGCATTTGATTCGGAGAGTTTAACAATAAGTATGACAGACGACAGTGAAAATACTAATATGGATATGCATGTAATAATCGACAGATTTAGGAGGTAAGTTAATTTCTTTTATCATTTGAAGAGAAAATTTCTTTCATTTTTAACTGATTGTTTGCCTGTATTAAGCACCTAAGGTATAGATGAGAACGCAAACTTTATTTTGTTTAATTTCACTCATTTTCTCCAGGTTGTTAAAATGGAGTAAAATGAAGGTTTGCAGAGAACGAAAGAGTAAAGACATTTATCAGAACGAAATTGAACTGCAACAATGTGAGATGAAAAGAGATAATGAAATACACCAAAATATTACCAATTCTGGGAATAAAGAAACAGAAACTTTAAGCAAACCTTCGAATATACCAATCGCAGATTGTGATACTGCTGGATCTGGGAGAGAAACTCCACCGAATTGTGGATGCCATCTCTTCTTGCACAACTGCGTGTGCTGTATGGAATTTCAAAAATCTATGATTGGTAGAATGTTAGGCAGATTTAGGACCCGGACAAAAACTTTTGTCACTCATAAGTATTTTGAGCGCTTTATACTCGCCATTATCATATCAAACAGTATTGCATTGGTAAGTCATATGTATTCCTAAAAATTTTTACTTTTTATAAGTTATTTGAACACAGACATTTGTGGATATATTTATCTGTGTGTCGCTTGCAGAGCAAATCATTAAGAGGTATGTCTCCTTGACTATTGACCTTCTTTTCTCTGAAAATATACTCAAAAACGTTGATTTGTGTATTTTTGATTGAGAGAGGTACGGTTTTGATGATGAGTTTTAATATCACCTTCCTAGGCTCATTACGCTGTACTTTGAAACTGTAGGTCATATGGTCAATCGCACAAACTATGAACATACATTTTAATCGGTATAGCGAAAGGATCATTGTAGACAACTGCAAGAGAATAGGGACGATCAAAATTTACTTAAACGTTAAATTGAACACGGATCTATAACATGAGAAAAATCTTATAATTTTTGTCCCCCGCTTCGCGAAAGCGAGGGGATATTAAATCTCATTCGTCTGTCCGTCAGTCTGTCAGTCCGTCCGTCCGTCTGTCTGTCCGTCCGTCACAAAAACTTTAACCTTGCTCATAACTTTTGATTTAGTAGATCTATGACTTTCATATTTCAAATGTGTATTTCTTGTGACAAGACCTTTCTTTGGGTACCACCAAATTTGACCTATTGACCTTGACCTATGAGTTTGACCCACTTTTACACAAAAATTCAAAACTTTTACTTTGGACATATCTTTTGAATGGTAGAAACAAGGACTTTCATATTTCTCATATGTATTTTTGTGACAAGGCCTTTCATTGGATATCAACAATTTTGACCTTTTGACCTTGACCTTGGAGATTTCCGTACTTATTAAAAAACTTTAACCTTGACAAAAACTTTTGAACGGTACCGGCTAGGGCTTTCATATTTTTTCACATATGTATTCTTAGTGGCAAGGCCTTTAATTGGATACCAAGAACTTTTACTCTTTGACCTTGGCCTTGGAGTTTGACCTACTTTTCAAAAACTTTGACCTTGGTCACAAGTTTTGAACGGTAGATATTAGGACTTTCATATTTCACATATGTATTTTGTGGCAAGACCTTTCATTGGATACCAACAATTTTGACCTTTTGACCTTGACCTTAGAGATTTCCGTTCTTATGAAAAACTTTAACCTTGACCATATTGTTTGAATGGTAAAAACTAGGACTTTCATATTTAACATATGTATTCTTTGTGGCAAGGCCTTTCATTGAATACCAACAATTTTGACCTTTACCTTGGAGATTTCTGTACTTATGAAAAACTTTTAACCTTGACCATGACTTTTGAACGGTAAGGGCTAGGGCTCTCGTACTTCACATATGTAATCCTTGTGTGAAGACTTTCATTGGATACCAAGAACTCTGACCCTTGATCTTGGAGATTGACCTACTTTTCAAAAACTTTTACCTTGGCCATAACTATTGAACGGTTAGGGTTCAGGTTTTCATCCTTCACATATGAATTACTTGTGACTTTTCTTAAGAAATCAACAACTCAGATCCTTTCACCTTGAAGTTTGACATAACTTTCAAAATTTTTTCCTTGATCATAACTTTTGAACAGGTGGTGCTTGGGATTTTGTATTTCACAATCGTATTTCTTGTCTGAAAACCCTACTTTGGGTCATAATATATTTCATTTGCATTTAAGAAAACTTAAATCTTCATTATGTTGCCATACAGGGTCATCAGTGTTTCACAAACACATCTTGTTCCTTATATTGGGAAGAGATAGGTCTTTCATATTTGCATATGTCACATGTGTTCATATGTGTTCATATTAGACACAATATGTCATAAAAGTGATATCTCACCCACAAAAACACCGAAAACGGGGGACCACAATTCTTTGAATTTGCTTGTAGTTTTCATTATTCACTTTAGTTTGAGGGTTTAGGAATCATACGTAGGTGTATCTGATTTTCAGATTTTACATTAATATGGCTATTCTATCGGTCTTAATATGCCCGTTATTTAAATAGTACTACTGGTAAAAATAGCTGACCATCTTTATTTTTAATCTATAACGATCCTTTAATGTAGACGACATACATGGCTGTGTGTGTTCCATTGAATGTACGTTGAATGTATGTTTATTAATCATATTCTGTCTCCTTTTTTGAAGGCACTAGAAGATATTCATTTGAAAGAAAGACCACATCTTGCAAGGCTTCTTAAAATTCTGGATATATTTTATACTGTTATTTTCGGCGCTGAAATGCTTTTGAAGTGGACAGCATTTGGGTTTAAGAAATATTTCAAGAATGCCTGGTCTTGGATAGATTTCATCATTGTAATTGTATGTTAATCAACTTAATTTAATTCAAATAATAAAAAAATATTTCAATTATTTTAACCGAATAAACAAAGTTGCAAATTTATTTTATAACACTAGGTTTCCATTGCCATGTTATGCTTGGAAAGATTTGGACAGGGTAGTTTTCATGCATTTCGTGCTCTCAGAAGTTTTAGAGTGCTACGCCCTTTGAGTGCCATTTCAAGATTTCCAAGCATGAAAGTAAATATTTTTTTTTCATTTGATAATGGTTGTTTCACCTTATTTGCATCTGGTCATACAAAGTCTCAAAACTATATATCCCCATCACAGTTTCATTTAATTCGCCTGAGCTGAATGCTCGAGTAAACTTATCTGTTTAAAGAGTCCGTCTGTGTATCTCTCTATTTGTTTGCCGCGCATAGAGAGTACTACAGTATATAGTGATCGTCCGTCCGTCTGCTATGCTTTGGGGAACCCATCTCTTATCTGCAACTCCTCCTATACCATTGAATAAAATTTAATGATACTTACACAGATTCTTTATAACATAATGTCATTGTGTACTTCCTATTTTACTTTTCGATCTGACATTTATATTGGGTCTCCCAGAGCAAAACATGGATTTCGCCATTATAATTACATGGGAGGTGGGGGTATCATTTAGTGAGCTCTATGCTCACAGTTCCTCTAGTTTTTTTTTCTTTCATCGTCTATTGAACCACTGCACTAATTTCAATCAAAAATGGTTACAAAGCATCCTGGAGTGAAAAAATATCAAATACATCGGAAAATACTGGAAAAGTTTTAACAAGACCTTCATTTTTAGAATGTTAAGACCATGATAAAAAATTTTTCCTATCAAGTTCGGGATATGCTGATTCAAATTTTTCAAAACACAAATCTAGGTATGCCCACTATATGAAATGATGTTGTTTTTGAAAATGCATGAAAAATTCTTAAAACTCTTCCAAAGAACATCGTTGCATGATCAGTGATGCAAACATCTTCAGGTTTGTATTAAAGGAATTAAAAATCCTCCCAAGAAATTAAAACTTTATTTATAACCTTGTTGGTAAAATCTTTAAAAATCCTTTAGTTTATCATATCAATTTGAAGCAGCTTCGAAAACTGCATATAAAGATAATTGAACCAAGTCCCTTAAGAGGGTTTAAGATACTTTGAAAAATATAAGATAAAAAAAATATGGATTGTCCATATCAATGCATTTAGGTATACTGAAATAGAAAAAAAAAATGCATGTTTTAAATCTTACAACACCAAAGTTTTTGAAATTATATTTATGTTTTATTTTCTTTTAAATGAAAGAAAAAATAGGAGAGTTATATACTGAATATTTATGTGATATTGCTAAGGTTTAAATGCAGTATTTGGTTGCAGAAGTCACTAGAAATGTGATAGTTCAATGCTGAAGTGTGGGATAATCTTTAAAAAAGAATATACTTATATTATACATGCTCATCTTGTAGGTCGTTGTCATTACACTGCTGAAATCTATCCCTTCAATAGCTAATGTACTGATGGTTTGTCTGCTTGTTTGGATAATTTTTGGGATTCTCGGGGTTCAGCTATTCGCTGGCAAATTTTACAAATGCGTGGATTCTGATGGAAATAAACTCTCTACCAATTTAACAGCGAATAAGACAGAGTGCCTTTCCAAGAATCACACGTGGGAGAATTCCAGGATTAACTTTGACGATGTTCCGCAATCATTGCTTGCATTATTACAAGTGGTAAAATATTGTGTTCCTTATGTAAACTATTAAACTAGATAATTGGATTAAAAATGAAAGTGCAGTAATTGTGCTGGATTTCTCTCTTTCAATTGTGCTGTAGTATCTACTTCTATTTAAATTAGGCCACTTATAAAGGTTGGATTGAAGTAATGAACGATGCAATAGACAGCACAGAGGTCAGTGTATTGATTTTCTATGAATACTTAAGTTTTGCTATACGTTCATAGAGGTTATATATACTTTAACATACTTTAACATAAGTATTCATAAAAGTAAATACATGTAATGTATTGGATTTCAAATTTCATTCATTAATGTTTCAAGATACATTTTATGTCCATTTTAAGAAAACTATGATATATTGGTATATTTGCAACCTTCTCAAATATTTTTATATGCAAGAAAGTAAATAATCCTTTTTATTCTAGATTGATGAACAGCCAGAGAGAGAAGCAAATGTTTATATGTACCTTTATTTCGTTGCCTTCATTGTTCTGTGTTCCTTTGTTACACTTAATCTCTTTGTGGGTGTCATCATCGACAACTTCACCCGCAAAAAGAAAAAGGTAAATATATACGATCGTTCATAATTTTGTAGTTCAAATTTCTCCATTATCTTCTGTTTTCCTGACCCGATGTATGAGAAAAGTGTATTGTTTATTCAATATCAAACAAGTGGAAAGATTTGTCTTTTCTGGTAAATGATCCATGATGCCAAGAGCTCCTTTAACTAGTAACGCCAGGTACTCACAAGGATTAGATTTCCTTTTGTAAGAATGATTCTGGTATTTCACTCTAAAAATTATTTAGAAACTTTCTTTTCAAAAAAAATATACCCTATGCATATATGCACAACTGATCTGTGGAAAAAAAATTATCTTTAAAGACGTATTATACCATGAATGAACATAAAAAGATATACGTGATTAGATCTTGATTTAAAAGGTGATTTATCATTTGAAAATTTGAAGAATTCAAAGATCTTTTGGACGCTATTTGATGGATGAGCGATGTCAAACATAAATACTGAGCGTTACTATTGTTGGTGTCATTTTTTTTCTCTCAAAACTCATGAAACATTTTGCAAAGCCAAAAAAAAATATTAAAATAAAATAATAAAATTAAAACTTGTTGAAATAATTGTTTATATTTTAAAAAACTTAAGTAATCAGGATCCTGACGTAAAATCCTTTATAACGCTATGGGGTCAGCCTATAAAAGATATATCCCAATATTAATATTTTATGCCCCTCTTCGAAGAAGGGAGGGCATATTGCTTTGCTGCTGTCTGTCGGTCGGTCGGTCTGTCTGTCGGTCCATTTAGTTCCCGTTCATTTTCTTCACAACCGATGCACATACTGAATGAAATTTGGTATACAGGTATATCAGATGAATATCTAAGTCAAGTTCTGTTTTTGGGTACGATCGCACCATTTTTGACAGAGTTATGCCCCTTGGACTTAGAAAAATTCCAATTATTTGCAGTTTCCGTTCATTTTCTTTGGAGAGGTTGCACATATTGAAATGGAATTTAGTATACAGATTAGTCAGATGAATATCTAGGTCAAGTTTTGTTTTGGGTACGATCACACCATAATTGACAGAGTTATGCCCCTTGGAATTAGAAAAATTCCAATTATATGCAGTTGCCGTTCATTTTCTTTGGAGAGGTTGCACATATTGAAATGGAATTTGGTATACAGATTAGTCAGATGAATATCTAGGTCAAGTTCTGTTTTGGGTACAATTGCACCATAATTGACAGAGATATTAGAAAAATTCCAATTATATGCAGTTTCCGTTCATTTTCTTTGGAGAGGTTGCACACATTGAAATGGAATTTAGTATTAAGATTAATCAGATGAATATCTAGGTCAAGTTATGTTTTGTTTATGATGGCACCATTTTTGACAGAGTTATGCCCTTTTGAACGTAGAAAAATTCCAATTTGGGGGAGGGGGGATAAGTGTTTTACAAACATCTCTTGTTGATTTAACATTTTGATCTATTGATTCGCAATTTGATTTTGCTGATGGGTTTGCTCATTTTATTTTAGTGACTACAGATATTTTATGTTTATAGGCTGAGGGATATTCGGAAGCATTTTTGACGGAGAGTCAGAAAAAACAATATGAAACTGTAAAGAAATTAAAGACAAAAGCGCAAGACAAGAACATCAGTCCGCCAACAGTGAGAGGATTTGTCTATTCTTATTCTAAAAAGTTAACATGGATTTAATTTATGGTGAGATTTTCTAGTTATTCTTTGTTTGCATTGAGAACCCAACTTCATTTCTTTTATATATTACAGAATAAACTTCTGATAATTATGTTCAACATCACAAAGAGCCCGAAGTTTGAGATAGGAATTCTGATCGTGATCTTCCTCAATATGATAACGATTGCGGTGGAACATTATAACCAGCCTGACGTCATTACAACTCTACTGGCTTACTCCAACCAAGTCTTCGTTGTCATTTTCTTAATTGAGTTCCTCGTGAAAATTTTAGGCTTAAGACAGTATTATTTTAAGATTCCATGGAATGTATTTGATTTTGTCCTCGTTATTCTATCCATAATTGGTAGGTATGCTTATTATTTAAATTAGAAATGGGCATGTTTGTTTTTATGTTTCAAAAATGATTTTGTTTTGTAAAAGGACACTCAAAATACTATGATACCAACACGATGCTTCTGTTAGCCTCTTAAAAACTTTTTTCTGCAATGATTTTTATATATTTTTTAAAGTTTAAATCGCATATAGTTTACTATTTTTTAACAAGATTTTTTTTCTGTTGTCATTAATTGATCAGAAATTTGATATAACGGATTAAATAATCCGTTCAAATTAATGCAAAGTTCAACGTTTTGAAATTATTAAGTCTGAAATTCAAATATACAAATTTAAATCAACAAAACAAATTTAAGATTCCTTAAAACTAAATCATTACAGATTAAATTTATTGTTAATAATAACGTTTTGAAAAAAAAAATGTATCAAGAAAATTAAATCGTTTAAACGTCCCAAATGGGTTTACTAAGTATAACTGAGTATGTTCTTTTTTCTTTTCATTACAGACTTAGCAGTAAGTGAAGTGAAACAAACCCTTGGCCTTTCCCCTACACTATTAAGGGTCGCTCGTGTCATCAAGGTCTTCAGACTCCTACGACTTTTAAGACTTACAAAAGGAATATCTGAATTAATGTATTCGCTTGCTTTATCCCTGCCTTCACTGTTCAATATTGCCGTGTTACTATTTCTCATCATTTCAATTTATGCAGTGATCGGGATGAATTTATTTATGCATGTTAAGCACACCGGTGGTATTGACGATGTTTTCAATTTCAAGACATTCTTCCAAAGCGTCATAACTTTGTTTCAAATGTGTACGTCTGCTGGATGGGACGGAGTTTTAGCGGGAATTACAAACGAAGAGGATTGTGAGAAGGACATGGATCCCAGTAACTGTGGAAACTATGAACTGGGGGTGATATTTTTAGTATCCTACCTTGTAGTCACTTTTCTTGTACTGATCAATATGTATATTGCAGTCATTTTAGAAAATTTCTCACAAGCTAAAGAGAATTTGGAACAAGACAGCAATAAACAAGACGATGATGGAATTCCTTCTGATTGTTAAACAACCAGTGCTGGCTCTTATAATTTTAATATTGTGCATGTATGCTCTGTTAGTTTTTCCCCATTCTTTTTTTTTTATTTTTTGTCTAACTCAGTCCTTTCTTCTTTTTTTTTATTTTTTCAATTAAAACCAAAATTTTGTTTTGGTTTTCGTTTTTATTGCCTGTTTGTTTGCGTGAAATATATAGAGAAAACAAACAGTACTAAGTTTTAAAGTCCATTATACAATTATACAAGTTTTGGAGCAAAGCAAACACAGGCCACTTAAACATCAAAGGTATGATCAGGTGCCATGGAGGAGTGAGCATGCACTGCCGACCGGGTACACCCACCGTGTGCTCCTTGTCATGATCGGGAAATAACGGAAAATCCTTCGACAATTCAGTGTGTAAATAAAGGCTTTACAATAAGTATGAAAAATGTCAGTCAACATTTGAATTAATGATAGATTTTATATTTACTGACAAGGCCATTGTATCGACCACACAGCTTACGAAATGATGACTTTAAACGAGATTGCTGGTATTTTTGCTTTATCAACTTGTTTGTCAAAAATGTACCTATTTTATCATTTTTCAAATAAAAACACAACAGAGTCTGACACATCTGTTTCATTTTTAGCTCAAGTAAGCTTTTCTGATCACATTTTGTCCGGCGTCTGTCTGTCTGTAAACTTTTCACATTTTCAACTTTTTCTCAAGAACTACTGGACCAGTTTTAACCAAACTTGCCACAACGAATCCTTGGATGAACGGGATTCAAGTACCACTGGGCCAGGAAAGATGAAACTTATATGGAAACATCCTCATGTAGAGTAGATTCAAGTTTGTTCAAATCATGACCCCCGGAGGTAGGGTTGGGCCCATCGTCGGAAACCAGCGGGTGATCTCGTCTTTACTTATCACCCGTGGGCAGACTAGCTGAAATATCGCCGTAAAATATGCTAATTTGTTGTTTTTAGTCAACCAATCAGAAAGTTGGAACTCTTCAACTTTGAAAAATACGTTCATTACTTTGCTATTTATGATAAATAATTTGACGCTCTTTACAACGTGCGAAGTTTGATTTAAAACAATGAAAGTCATTTCGTACAGGTCACTGACATTAATATCCGTCAGATATTATGAAGGAGTACCTCTTTCTAACTGCAAAATGCACCGTTGAGTGGATTTATCAGCTATGTTAACTACGGAATGAGTTTCTCATGTTTTTGGCAATGCCGAACATGCATACGTAACTCGAACTGTGATTCGTTGTTTCGCATCGCGACTCTGTGATGCGGCCAATCATGCATATTTAATTACATACGACGATTTTTCGGCGAGTTTGCCCACGGATGATAAGTAAAGACGAGATCACCCGTGGGTTTCCGACGATGGGTTGGGTCTAAATGGACGATCTAAGTTTAAAATAGGAATATATACGAAAAATCTTTTAAAACTTTCTTCTCAAGGACCACTGAGCAAGGAAAGATGAAACTTATGTGAAAACATCTTCATGTAGTGTAGATTTGAGTTTGTTCAAATCATGAACTCCGGGGTCGGGGGGGGGGGGGGGCACAATGGACGATCAAAGTCTTATATAGGAATATATGGGGAAAATCTTTAAAAATGTTCTTCTCGAGAGTAGCCGCGCCATGATTGTTCATATTTATATATAAGTATCCTAGCTCAGGTAGTGTAGATTCAAGATTGTTCTAATCATTACCCCCGGGGTAGGGCGGGGCCACAATGGATGGTCAAAGTTTTACATAGGTATAGATGAAGAAAATCTTTAAAAATCTTCTGATGAGGAACGGAAAAGTGATTGGTCTATTTTCATAGAAGCATCCTCAGGTAGCGTAGATTCAAGATTATACAAATAATGATCCCCGGGGTAAGGTGGGGCCACAGTGGGTGAGGGGGAGGTCAAAGTTTTACATAGGAATACATAGGAAAAGATCCTTTGAGAACAACAAAGTCATGGTTTGTCATTTTTATACGGAAGTATCCTCATGTAGAGTAGATTCATATTTGTTCAAATCATGACTCCCGGGGTAAGGTCGGGGCCACAATGGACTATCAAAATTTTACATAGGAATATATAAGAAAAATCTTCTCAACATGCTCAAGAACAGCAAAGTCATGATTGGTTATGGAAGCATCCTCAGGTATATTGTAGATGCAGATGTGTTACAATGATGACCCCAGGGGATAGGGTGGGACCACAATAAAATTTCAAAATTATGGGGAAAATAGAAGTTATGGTAAAAAAATATGTAACCATCCTTCGTTAGTGTAGATTCAAGTTTGCGTAGATTTAAATTTGATGAAATCATACCCCCTTTTAGGATCAGGACAACTTATGATATGCATTTACTGAATTGATTTTCGCTTGTTCCGCTCAGGTGAGCGATGTGGCCCATTGACCTCTTGTAAGGATATTTCTTTTTAGAAATTGCTTTTGGTACTTACTAAGGAGCTCTTCCTTCTTACGGGATTTCCGGTTTTTATGATACACTGTGACTGAACATAGATGATTTATATGAAGTAGAAAGTAGATAAATATATAGTGTTTCTTTTGATTGCATGTATAATGTTACATTATACAATATTTCCCAGTGGACAATGCTATCATACTTGGTAAAGGATGGATGAGCTCTTCATATTTCTTAGTTGTCTTTCTTTGAGCAGCCATTGATTCAGAAAATATCTAAAAAGCGTAAAAAGCGCTGCAAGAAATAGGCAAGATCATAAATCTTTTCTTTTTATTTTTTCTTCTTCAGGATAGACAAGTAAAAATGTTTGTAATCGTGCTTTCTTTCGGCAATTATGCTAATTGAAACACCTGTGTTAGAAGAAAATTATTAGAGCCACTTTGATCTTCGTATATTTAAAGCTCTATAATGGAGTCGGGGAATCCGCTAATACCTGTTCCGCAGTAACATTGCACAAAATTGTTTCTTATTGTTTTAGAGATGTAGCGATAAATCACGACAAAAGCTTTCGAAATGAAGGTAATACCGGGAGACAAGATACGCCCATGCACTTTTGTGTTTAGTGGGCTTTTAGATGCAAATATCTATGTTAAAAATCCGTTTATGGTACATAGAAAATTTGATAAAGATCCCTTTCCCCTTTAGAAACAATATTTGATGTTCTCCTTTTTAAGGACATACTCAACCTAGTTTTAACGTCTTAGTCTTTTTCCATGGAGCTGAAGAGTTCCAATTCTCGAAGGAAATGTATCCTATATTTAATGTCTATATATGGTGTCTATATATGGTGTTGTACACTTCTAAAAAAAATTTTGGATAAAACAAACATCTAGAATATATAATTTATATTTTTGTTACATTTTTCTTTAAATCATTCAAGAATTTTCATCATTTAACATCTTTCAAATAATCCTGATATCTGATGACACAATAATCTTAATTAGATTATCTTGAAAAATTATCAGTAGGTGAGGTACGAGTACGTTGTGTATGTTCTTAAAACAAACTTTTTAAGGTTAGGTTCCCGGTTTTGAACTTTTGATTATTGATATGAACAAAAATTCCTCAAATTGTGAAGTACAGCCAATAATATTATAAATTATTATCATTTTTCTTCTGGTCTCCACGATCCGCATTTGAGTCGAACCCGCGTGTTGGAATCTTAATGACCAAACTTAAATCTTACAAAAAATAAAGCATATTCTGAGTTACGGTGTGCATCAGATGTAAACCAAAAACAAGCCAAGGTCTCCAATTGAGCATTTGATATGCTTAAATACATTAAGACCATTAAAGTACACTAAAGACGTCAAATCACTTTACATGTTAAAAAAAAGTGTCCATATTTAAAAGAAGCCTGTTCTTTTATTGTTACTATTTGTAACAAAGACATCTTGCTGGGAATCAAAGCAAATTGTTGTGTACTTATATGAACTTTGTAGTCTTGATTTTTATACTTAAATCAAAGCCTTCAAAGAATAGCCTCCTCTTCCTTCAACCGACATCAACACATTATTTTACATAATAAAAATATGATTTTAAACTATATTACCTTTTCGCTCAGCCGATTTTGGTTTCAATTTTAATTAATCTATAAAGTTGACGGCCATAATTATTGCTCAGTAAACATAATCTACACTTTATTAGGGTACCTCATGCATATGTCTTCTTTAATACTCATCAAATTTCAGCTAATTATAAAACTAATCAGTAGATTGTGACCTCGATGGGGGGTTGATTCTAAATGTGATGGCACCGGAAAGGCGTTCACTTTAAGATCGCTGAAAAGTACTATTATGAAATTTAAGAGACTGTGCTATAATTTTAGATCTAGTAATTTAGAGAAACTTCCCTCCTACATTGAGAAGAAAAAAGTGCATTTGGTCGTCCATTTTTCGTTTACAGCAAATGTTAATGAGTCGAAATAGAATTTAAGTTGCTATAAACTAGTAAAAGTTTTGTTTATATTTTGTGCATTATTGACTGAAAAAAACTTTATTATATTAATCTGTCCTTTTCTGTAAATTAAGAAACAAAATTGTGCTTTAATACCCGCTTTATAATCCACAAAATAGATGCTTTATACAGTTCTTTGAATTTCTGAAGTTTGTTTGGAATGCTAACTGGAACCCTTATATTCCATTGGGATCACTTTTCACCAAATAAACAAACAAACAAAAAAAAAAAAGAAAAAGAAAAAAAAAACATATGCTGTAAGCTTCTGCTACTATGCCACATTTCTGGGCCTTTTAGTGATTATTCAATTGACTGAAAGTTGTTGTTTTAAACTGTGATAATTATTTGAAATTATTTTGCAAACCAATAGATAGATCTTACAGCTCTTACAAAAAGTTTATTTTAGATAATAGTCTTCGCATTTCTTCGGTTGATACACTTAATAGCCTTGTTGGCAAATACATTCTTTCGGTAAGTCGAAAATTGAAGTTATCTATCGTACAAATCGTAAGGCTATTATTTCTCTAAGGATGTGCTTACCGATCAAGACAAAGAGCGAATATCAAATGTAATTTGATTGATTGTATATTGTTTAATGTTCCTCTCGAAAATATTTCACTCGTAT